AACAGGGCCCATGCACCTGTATTTCTAAAAAGTCCCAGAATTAATCACCTCTGATGTGCAGCCAGAATTGAAAGCCATTGATCCAACTGCAATGATTACACAACAATTTAACATTAATAACGTTTTCTTTGTGGGTGTCCAGACTAGTTCATTCATTCAATAAATGCATTTGAGCTCCTACTACCAGAAGAGCTAATGTTCTTGGTAAAGCATCTATCTTGGTCCCTGGCACATAGAAAGTGCTCAATACTTCAATTATATTCATCACCCCTTAACGAGAGCTTCCACTGTTCCAGAGAGAAGGCAAATTGATGGGAATGCAGAGGTGAGGAGGCAACAGCGGATCTGAAGCAGAGACAGGCAGGTAAACAATTACTGGCAATGTGGAGCACACCCAGCAAGGCGGGCGGCTAGTGGTGGCAGCAGGCAGGGGTGGTTTTGCCAAGTGTTCTGGCTTTGAGACACACAGCGGTGTATAGTGTTCCGTGGCTTCTCACTGGAAGGCCCTGGGCCAAAATGTGCACACTCACTATTCTTACTCTCACGCTAAGTCATCTGCTCCTGAGCATAGTTCTCAGGCCAGGCTGTTTCCAGCAGAAGAGAGAGACTGAGGTTCAGATAATGTAAATGTGTAGCCAGAAGTCAGGAGCCAGGAGCCTGGCCCGGAGTAGAGCACCAGGTCACACCCTGCATTCCCCAGCCCTCTGGCAAATGCTACGTAGGAACCCAATGGGCTCATGCCCATATCCAGTGGAAAGGACAGGTCCTTGGCCTTTGACAAGCTTGCCCCTGGGAGAAAGCTGGGGCACAGAGGTAGACACAGAGTCCACATCCCATCTCTACCCTTCTCACTTCTGAGATGGATTTCACCATAAAGATGCCTTCCTCAACTGCTGAAGAGGGCTAACAAGACTGTCCAGCACAGGGAAGGGGCCCTAAGGTGTCACTTGTCTCCCCCATAGTCCTCATTGCCTAGCCCAGAACCTCTGGATGGAGTAGCCCCTTTGCCACTATCAGCCAAGAATGTCCCTGAGCCAGACGCTGTTGGGTTGGCATAAATTAAGAAGAAAAAGTGTGCAGAAGGGCAAACTCTTTACATGCAGTTGAAGAAGACATCAAAGGAGTAGAGGCGAGGAAGTGTGGAGGTGAAGAAGGGAGGGCCCCTGGGATCAAATTTTTCATAGCAGGTGGGGGCATGCAGACAGAGGCTGACCACAGCCAGAACAGATGGGCCGGCTACTCCTCTGCTCCCTGCTGCTCCACCACTCTGGCCTCTGGCCTCTGCCAGCTCCTGTGTGCAATGGAAGCAGGGCCAGGGGAGGGCAGACAAGGTAGAAAACAACAAGGATTCCGAACTCCTAGCCCAGTGATGGATGATTCATCTCTCACTCCTCATGTCGTCTCCCATTTGTACAGTTCTCATCTTTATTTCATGAATATTTTATTCTCAGAGCAACGGCTCCACATGCCCTATAAATCTAACGGGTGGCTCTTTACTGCATCCAGGGAGCTTGGTGCATTCACCTGCATTGGGTAACTACATAATCATCTGATTCCTTAGAAAAAATATGAGCTCAAATCTACATGAATATTAAGGGGTTGAACGCACATTACTACTCTTCTTCAAGTAGGTGTCTAAACTGGGACGACACCCTAGAGCAAGCCATTAAACACAACTTGGGCTCCACCCAAAGACAGGTTTCTAGCCCTTAAGAAATACTGCCAATGCCTCAATATGAAACATTCAAAGATTAACCAGACACTCTCGCCTATTTGCAAATGCTGCTCCATAAAACACAGGCAACCAGTAGCACAAAGTAGTTCTGGATTAAATACCATCATTATTATTTGTAGGTTTTAAGAATATGCTTCTAAAACACTGTGATTTTGAGCCCTTTCCTGGTTTCCATTCCCTGCATGATGAAGTCAAAACCTCTCGGTCTGGCATTTAAGTCCTTCGAAGCAGGCCCTGTCTCCCTCCCCAGCCTCCTCTGCTAGCATCTCCTTCCTCATGTTGACACTTTAGCCCTGGAGCTCCAGGAGTTATGATGACTTTGTTTACCTCCATGCTGTTCACCCTGCCAAAAATGCAACTCCTTATCTCATCTTTAGAGCCAGGGTTTGTACCGATGCTTCAACGCTCAGTTTTAACAGCTGTAAGCCCCAAGCAGACCTCAATAATCAGCACCCCTAACCCCTCTGACCTCACCATGCCCTGGCTGGGATGGATGCCCTCTGCACTTCTGTGATACCTGCTGCTCACTGCAGATCAGTCTGATCAATGGGTGGAGACTGCTGGGCCCAGCTCTCTGTCACATCTGTGTACAAGGAGATAAGCTCCCTGAAGGCAGGGGCCGGGTCTCTATAGGGAGGCTTATTAAAGGAGGAAAGGGAAAGAGAGAAGAAGGAAGGGGGACATTGCATTTGAAATTTGGAAACCCATAAAAACAGGAAAAAGATGGAACATTTCCATGCAACCCTTCTTAGCAATACCAGAAGGGGTTGGGGGACAGACAGCTGCTGTGCTTTTCCAACCGGCCCCCCTCCATGTGTCCTCATTCCTATCTGGAAGCAGGTTGGCAGCAGGGGAAGTCAGTCCCACGTTCTGGAAGCAGGGCTAATGTATTCATCATTTCATAACTGAGATCCTGGACTTATGTAGAAGCCAGAAATAAAAGGCAGATGTTTTACCAGCAAGGAGCTGCCCCTCACAGCTAGGTTATCCCTTGGTCTTCTGGTCTCTCCATGTTTTTCTCTTTTCGTTTCTGTCCTCCTATCTATGTCTCTTTAACAATCACCAGTCTCTCTCTTTCTCTGTCTCTCTTACACACCACAATGAACTGTGGGTGGTCCAGGCTGAAATTGTCCAAACTGTCACTAATCTAGGCATTGTGATGGGACATGGCTAAAAGCAGACAATGACTTCCCATCCAAAGGATAAGCTCTCCTTGCATGTGGCTCACAAACGATAGGCTAGAGACCGGGGCTGAGCCTGAACCTGTGTCTCTGGGCTCCCACCCTTGCCCACGGCTACCCAGGAAGACAAATTCCTGACAATGTAATTTTCACCCACCTTGAGACCCTCCCCTGCTCCCCTGACACAAGGGGCCTTTGCACAGAGGAAACCAGGCTGAAGACTTAGGGAAAATAAGCAAAACCTTAAACAAACAACACAGGGAGTGAGTGCAAAATGGGTCAGTCTGGGGTCCTGATCTTTCCCACCCTTCTCATCCTTCTGGGGCCACCACACTGTGACTGCCCACTGATGCTTCTGTGCACAGAGACCTGGGTGGTGACAAGCAGGTGAAGAGTGCACACTGGCCATGGCATGGAGGGGGCTGACATGACGAGTAGAGGTGAGATATGTGCAGCCTTTTCTTAAAACTGCTTGTCAGAATCATTCACTGTCCCTCCCAGGGACTTCTTTACACAACATTTTCCAGTAGCCAAAGAAGCTTGGGACAGAACCATCAACTGTTCCTTTCAGGGGCTTTTTCTCAAAGTTTGGCCTTCCTTTCCACCTGAGCTCCAGGGGTGACAGGACAGCCACCGAGGCTGTGGCTGGCCCCAGCTTTGCATTCCCTCGCATGGAGATACACAGAAGGCCAGAGAGAAAGACAGATATTCCCAAACACTGCAGATGTTCTGAGTTAAGCAGCGTAAGGACAGAGAGCTTGCTACCTGGTATGATGCAGGGTTGTGTAAAGGAGCGAGGGATGTCCACCCCTGTCCTAGCCCCTGACCTGCCAGGAACGCGCTTACAGATCAATGAATAGAGGGTAAGATGTGGCCAGATACCCAGGCCACAGAGGTGGTGGACCTATCCTTCCTGTCCAGAGGTACCAAATCCCTGCCCGGAATCAGGCTGAGAAGGATCCTGCCGGCTCTTACCTTTCTCCTGGCTGTTTTTCTTTCCTGCCTCAGTTTATTTTTTGTGCCCTTTGGATCTTCTACCTCCGAAATCATTTAATGAACTGCCAGGTACTATCTGAGCCTCCAGTAAAATAAAAAGGTCAAAAAACAAAAACAAAACCGAAGTGCATTTGGGTTTGATGCAGGGTGCTCTCCCACTTCCTGTTTGAGGTTGATATCCATTTGCACCCACAGTGTTTCTAAGCGGAGCCGTGGTTCTAGACATAGCTGAGGTCTATATGGCAGGGAGTGACAGCCCACAGATGGTGTGGCTGAGCATGTGCCTGTGTGTAGTTTCTGCTGGAGAAGCATCATCACCAAATGACACTCCCTACCTCCCTCCCTCAGGGGAACTGTCTCCAGGTCTCCAGGGAACCTTGGCGAAGGCTTTATTTCAGGAAGAAAAAAAAAAAGAAAGAAAGAAAGAAAAAAGGAGCGTGAGGAAGAACAAAACCCCAGTAAGGAGGAAATGTGGACAGGCAGAACCAGCTTGCAGTTGACACACACAGGAAGGAATGTGTACCCAGAACCTGGAGTCTAGACAGAGCTACAGTGTCTTCTGGACTGAGTGTACCCAGGAAGGACAGGGACAAGACTGGGCCCTGGGAGGAAGAGGAAGGTAGGGAGAAAGAAATGTTGGGAGGGACAGGGATCCCCTGGTGCCCTGGGAGAGCAGTGCCCTGTGGCCCTTGGTGAGAAGTCAAAGAGAATCAGGAAGGAATGGGCTCCTCTCTTACCCTACGGGTGGTCTCTCCAGGTCAGGGTGGAGGCACATGGGCGGGGCAGGGTAGGGAAGGGCTCTCTGGCGCTGCCCATGCTGTACCTGCTCTATAGATAAATACAGGACTTTAGTGGCTAAGGCTGGCACTGCAGCACTTTGTTTAAGCATGAAAACATCCCCTACATGTCTTCTTTAGTTTTAAAACCAGAATGAAACAACGACAAAATCCCCCAATATAAAACACTGCTGTCCCCAGATGTGACAACTCAGGTAAACACGAACTAGAAACGGTCTGCCCTCCAAACGGCCCAGTGTGACATTCCTGCCTTTAGGCTGCGGAAGGGAGGGCAGGCCCCAGGGTGCTGACCTCCTTGGGGGTCTCCTGGTGGCACCGGTTGCTGTTCCACCACAACTCCAGGGCAGCCACCAGGCAGGCCAGGAGCAGGCCGATGGCCAGGATGCAGAAGACCCCGGCGAAGCTGTGCAGCTTGAGGGATTTGCCGTCAGCCTGGGCGCTGGCATGGCTGGTGAGGTCACAGCGGCCCATGTGTGGCCACCACTTCTGCTTCAGCACATCCAGGTCCCCTGTGTCCTGCAGCTCCAGGATCCTGTAAGACACAATCGAGGTGAGCTACAGCCACCGACCTCCTGAACTCAGCCACAGGGACCCTGGCCCCTGCCCCACCATACTGCCCCCTCCACGGACAACACTGAGCCATCCTAGCAGCTTTCTGCCTTAGCTCTTCTCTTCCCAGTCCATTCTCCACACTGCAGGTAAAGTGCTATTCCCCACACACATTAGGTTTTGTCACTCCCCTCCCCAGCGCCCCCCTGCCCTCTCCCACCCCATCCCACTGCCCAAGGATGAAATCTAACAGCAAATCACATAAGGTCCATCACAGGGACTCTGCGGCAAGAGCTCAGGATAAAACTGGGAAATACAGAAATGAAAGAGGCAAACATTTAGCTTGCCTACTTAGGATATTCCTGATCATGAAAACGCTTTTTTCTGAAGTTTCATTACTATAGCCTAAGTCTCTCCCACTGGGATTCACCAAGTCATTCATTCAAGCATTTGATTTGAGGGCCTCCTGTGCTTTGTCTACAATGATGTTCAGCACTGCTAAGTTTATGGTCTAGAGATACAAACACTGACCCTAAAACAATTAGCTCAATCAAAGTGCAGACAGAGCTGCGATAAACACAACAAATCAAAGTAGAGTTTCTAGGAAATAGCACGTGGTGGGTAGTGTCCACGGGAGGATTGCAGAAATCTTCACTGAGGAGCCAGAAGGTAAGGGGAAGCTTGAAGTATGACTAATCATAAAACAGCTCACATGGGTCTAGCATGTTCTACGTGCCAAGGAGTACCTTCCATGCTTGGTAAATGGTGTTGAATCCTCATTTTCATGCCAACTCTTTGAGATGGTTCTTCCTATTTTCCCATTTTACTGAGAAGGAAATCAAGGCACAGAGAGGTGAAATGTCTTGCCACGGTCATTCTGAGGCTGCAAGGGTTGGCTTTCAACTATGGGGAGGAAGAACCTTCCTGAGACTAACACCCCATGTGAAAGTCTGGGATAGCACTTAGGATGTTTAAGTGGAAAAATGGCTGACAAGGCTATTGGGTGGTACGGGAGCAGGTGTCAGGTGACAACAAAGAAGAAGGCAGAGCCCAGAACACGGGCACTAAGAGGCTCTGAGGGCTCTCGATTTCATCATGGTGGGACAACCCATGCTGCTTCTATATTCCTCATTGTGGTTTTCTTTGGTTGTGGTATTTTGTCTGGAACCCAGAAATCTGTTAGAGAGAGCCAGTGGTAGCTTGTAGCACCCAGACCTCAAACACCCAAGCTTTTCCACTGGGGAGTGGAGCTCTTTAAGCCTGACCCATGGTGACATATTTGACTGATAACATCTGTAGAGATCCCTCTGAGTTCTCCGGGTGTGTGTAGTTACAGAGCAGCAGGTGTTTATAGCTGGGAGAAGGTCTCTGCCCACTGGACAGGGTGTGTGATCTCTACCCTGGACCAGCACTGCAGGTTAGCTGTGAACACAGACCTGAGGCTGTGCTCAATCCGCCCCGCCATGGGCTTGTGTCTGGTTGAGACAAGAGCCACAGCCCTGAGAGGGTCCCAAGACCTGGCAGCATCATGGGCCCGGCACAGCATGGCCTCCTGATGGCTGGGAATGGCTTACTCCAGTGCAGAGATAGGCTTTGGAGGCACCAGACCTCATCTGGACCAGAGACTTGCCTCTACTGAAGCTCAGTGTTTTCATCTTTGCAACATAAACTGCTGACCCCCACTTGGATGAGCAGATCCTTCAGGACAGGAGCTCTGTTTTCCCTGAGTAAGCACAGTGGCTGGCACCACTAAGGCTATCAGTAGATGTCTGTTGTGTCAATAAACTAGTGTACTGACTGAGTAATGAAAACTTGACTAAGATGGCTGTGGTTAGATATTGATATAATGTCCATTAAGTGCTCAGGGCACTGATCAGCATGTAAGACACAGAATGTGGCTGTGCATTCAGGGACTTGGTTGTTAAGATACATGTGCATTTATATGGTTTGGGGTCATGCTTAGATTGCCCTGGAGCACTGCAGACCTCTCTCATGGCATGTGGCCTGTTGAACTGGGCAGCCGCAGTATTGCACCACCTCACATGGCTCCGATCGTGTCGGGCCAACTCTGTGTCTGCATGTCTGCCTGTTCATTGGCCTTAATAAGTATCTGCTGGTAGGGGTGAGGGAGTTAAGCCTCCTGGCAGTTACAGGAACCCCAGGGACAGATGTGCAGGACCACAGGGCCTTTCAGGAGGTCAGGAGTTGAACAACTAGCTGGCCACGGATAGACAGCAGAGCTTCACGTTCATGGATATCCATTCAAATCCAGGCTCAGAGCCTCTAAAATTTAGCTTTCTCATCACGAAAGCCTGAGGTTATAATAAATGCACCTACCTCACAGGATATTGTGACAAAATGAGAAGAGGGAACACATACAGACAGTTCGCTTGAGATCCAGCCAGTAATCGGAGCTCCATAAAAGCGGGTTAGTAGTCGTCAGTCTGATGGCCACATTGACCAGTAGCTTTATCCTGCCAGCACTGACATGAGCGACCTTTTATTGAGGACACAGTAGGAGCTGATCATTTTACACTGTTTGAATCCTCATAACAGCCTGCAAAGTGGTTCTTATTACATCTATTTTACATCTCGAAGACCTAGAGCTCAGAATCTAGATGACTTGCCCACTGTTGCAGTTAGAAAGTGGCGATGCTGCTCATCAGAGCTGGGTCATTCTGACTCAGGAGGCCATGCTCTTTCCAGAACAGCAGGCTGTTCTCCCAGGACCAGCCTCATCATTCTAAGGAATAGTGAGGCTCTGGCCAGATGGCAGTTGTGGGGTCAGATCCCCACTTCTCCACTCATTAGGCATACCCTGTGCAATGTTAGGCAAGTTGCTTAAACTGGCTGACCTTTTATTCCTCCTGCTCCCTATAATTGTATGCATTTTTTATACCCAATCTTATCCCAGAAAGATAGTAAGGCAATTTATAGAAAAGTATGCCATAAAACAAAAAAAAAAAAACCTAAACAAACAGAAAAGGAAATTTTAATATGGATGGGACAGAGAAAGATAAAACAAGTCCTGGGCACAAATGACTTTGAGAATGAGGCTAAACTAATGCACACCATAATAATCCACACTCCCACTTACGAGTAAGCCAGAGTGATAATAGCCACTTCCTGAAGCCAGTTGTTCTATTTTCCAGACAGATATAATTGCAGGTGCTTTTTTCTATTCAATAGCTGTGGCGCCTGCTACACAGTAGGTGCTCAATAAATGGCTATTAAGATGCTAAACATTTATTGAATGCCCACTCTGCATGCTGTGGTCTGCAGGCCTGTTTATAGCACATAAGCCCTGCCACACACGCACATACATCCACATCCTATCCTCTGCCAAAGCAAAGGAGTGTATCTTTATTTAAGGGAATAGTTTAGTTCCCAGGATGAAGGGAAAGACAATTACAGCAGTTCCACGTAAGGCTGGGACCTACCATTTATATACCAGGACCTGTTTTCCGCAAATGGCATGAGGCATTGCTCTCAGGACCTATCCCTTCAGTCTTCTGAAGCATGCCCTAGCTAGGGGCAGCTCACAGTTCTGTATGGACCATACAACAAAGCCTCTTTTTTTTCTTTGAAAACAGGGTCTCCTTCTGTCACCCAGGCTGGAGTGCAGTGGCATGATCTCAGCTCACTGCAACCTCTGCTTTCTGGGTTCAAGCGATTTTCATGCCTTAGCCTCCCAAGTAGCTGGGATTACAGATGTGTGCCACCACACCCACCCAATTTTTTGCATTTTTAGTAAAGACAGGGTTTTGCTATGTTGGCCAGGCTGGTCTCAAGTGATCTTCCCCTGGCCTCAAGTGATCTGCCTGCCTCAGCCTCCCAGAGTGCAGGGAGCCACCACACGCGGCCCAACAGATCCTTTTAAAGAAATCCTGGCAGCAGTAAGTTGACAACCTGAAGTCTAAGCGTCCCCACTCAGGGGATAATTCCAGCCCAGGGGGAACTGTACCACGCAGGAAGATCAGGAAACTGCGGGAGGCCAGCACAGGCCACTGGTGATGTTTCCTTATAATCACAGAGCACATGTCTTCCGATGAAAGCAAATAGTAATCAATCACTACTTGCCAAAATGACATGGAAGCTGGACTAGTCACATCTGATTATGGTGACTACTGGAGTCGGGAGAGCAGCCCATGGGGTCTCTGTTGGGAGGTTTTGCATAGGGACCACACGGTCAGTGAGTGGGCAGGTAATGGGCAGGCCTGTTCCAGAAAGCCTGGTCTCTGGGGTCACACACGTCAAGCTGGCCATGGCTCTGGTCCTCTGAAGCCACACAAAGGACATCTCACTCCGTCTGCCCCCAGCAAGGCTTACGATATTGAAGGTGGACAGCCACACCCCTCCCCACTCATCTCCACCTTCCTCAGGTTGAATAATCTCAGGTTCTGCGCTGACCTAACTGGAGCTCCCTCTGCTCTGACTCCATTCATCAATCCAGCAGACACCAGGGCTCCCGGACTGACGTCTGCTGCCTCTTCTCTCCAGTGTGTCAGTGTTCACTTGAGCAGACTCTCAGGAGCCATCTGAGCAGTGTGAGCACATAGGGACTCTAACCTTTCTTCGCTGGGGCCCTGTGCTTCCGTGAGCACTGTCTTGGGGCACATTAGCAGTCTTGATTGGCCCCATGGGCTCTCTTACCATCTGTTCTAGAGAGATGCTCAGAGGTTGATGGTCTGTGGAATCACCCTGAGCCTCCCATCTCGGAAAACCAACTGGTGTGAACCTCAAGAACACCAAAGTGTTATAAATCCTGGAGAGAAGCCATTCTTTCTTTATGTATTTAATCTGAACAATTGATAAATCACTATTCCTCCTTCCTTCTCGCCATCTCTCTCTGCTCCAGAGAGCAGAGGGAGGAACAGAATGTATACCTGATTAAATTTAAGAGAAAATCCAAAAGCCTCATTTACCTTAATTAGCCCTACTCTTTCCCTCAGTTTTGCAAACAAGTCACTGAACGGACTGGTTGCAGGCCCTCCTCATTAGCCTTCCCTTAATGGGGCTGAGGCTCAGTTACTCATGAGCAGAAGGGCCCAATCTGGACATCTAGAGTGTGGGAGAAGGGTGGTGGTGAGGCTTGGAGATCCAGCAGCAACATGGGCACAGCACCAGGGCTCAGAAGACATGGATTCTACTCCCAGCTCTGCCAGCAGCTGGCTCAGTGACCTTGGATTTCCTAGTTACCTCCTCTGAACTGTGGGATGTTAGAGAAATGGTTTATAAGGACTCTCATCTCTCCAAGCAGAAGTTCCTTAGTGCTGAAATTCAAGCGTTCATCAGTTGACAAGGGTTGCCCCTGAGCCTGGCACGATGGCAGCCTTTTTATTCAAATGCTTCTGCCTCATATTGGATTTGGGCGGACTCAGGCAGAGCCTGCTCCGAGAGTTTCTTCACTTGGCTCTGCAGATTCATCTCTTCACCCAGAGAAATGCCCTTCACAGATGTGCAAGAAGATGGCCCAAGGCTTAGACACCTTGGGGACAGGAGCACCTGTTCACAGGCTGACTACTGGAAAAAGGCCACCCTTTCTGGTTAAGGCCATGTCCCTTCTTGGCCCCAGCAGACAGCATCTCCTTGGACCAGGAAACTTCTGCCTTATAATCAGAGCCCCCCTCCAGCCACATGCAAATAAATATGGAGACATTCTGCTTCTCTAACCCTACTTTTTTTAGTCTTCACATTGACTATTCCCACTTTATAGATATATTTCTCTTTAAAAGTGATTAGTAGGGCCTGATCAGATCCTGCTAATTATTCATTTTTCTGGCTAACTCCTCCTCATTCTTCAGGCCTCAGGTGTCCCCTCCTCTAGGAAGTCCTCCCAGGTATCCTGGGTCTGGTGAGATGCCCCTCTCTGCCACTTCTACCCTAGCATCCTGAGAATGTCCTTCCCACATGCTAATATGCCCTGTGCTGGCATTGCCTTTTCAAATCAGAGATCCCACAGACCTGAGCCTTCCTGGCAGGGCCATATACTTCCATAGGGTCTGAGGGTGAGAGAGGAGGAAGCAGTGGGACATAGTAGGTGCTTAGGAAAATGGGATGAACAAAGGAGTTTGCATTGGCTCTTATCATCTAAGAAGTTATTCTCCCACCCTCGACCACTAGAGTCCTGAGGCAGCTGGAGCCCCTGGCTACCCATGCCTACCTCTGGGAGAAGAGGTCCCTGTAGGGGCTGCCGTGCTGCAGGGCGATCCCGTAACCCTTGCTGCTGATGCTGTTGCCAATGACAGTCACCGAGCAGTCGTCATCCGTCAGGGCTGCGTATTCCACCACGGCCACATCCCACAGGAAAGCGTAGTTCCCCTTTTTTGCCTGAAAGATCAAAATTACCATGAAGTCAGGCAGGCCTGGCCAGCTGTGTCAGCTTTGACCGGCGAGCCATCTTGATGGTGGGATTTGATGGACCCATCCTCAATGGTCTTCCTACCTACCAGAGAGCACAGCAACTCTGCTACTGTTTTCTGGCCTACAAATGCCAGCTTTGTTTGAGGCCACTCACTTTGACTAGACACAAAAGACGTGCAAGCCAGCCACAAAACATCTCATGGAAAGGGGAGGGGATGAGGAGCTAGAGACGGGCTCTAAGATCAGCTTCCTGGTCACAGTGTCATGGCCTCTGTTTCTGATTAGAGGGCTGAGCCTTGGAGAGTGCAGAAAATCCAATGCCAGGTGACTGAGATTCTCAGATCAGAAATGTTGGGGAGCATAACAGTTAGGGATGAGGAATAGGGGAGAACAGGACTGTGGCAAACTTATCCACTTGATACTTTGACTTAGAACTGGACTGAGCTCTGCTTAGGGTCAGTGTGGAAAATGGCCATGAGTTCAGTGCCCCAGAGTAATGGCGACTTAATATCAAGCAGAAGCACATGTCTAGAGGCTTCTGTGCTTGGAGAAAAATCCATTACGGACAGGGCTTGACTGTTATGGTAACATGCCAGCCTTCTGCCACTTGTCTTTTACTGCCCACACATGAAGGTATACACATGCCTGCACACATACTCCCATGCGTGCACACACATATGCCTGTGTACGTGCACGTCCATGTGTGTAATACACACATACATGCACCTATAAATATGTGTGCACATATTCATGCACACACATGCATATATATTTGTACACAGACATGTGAACATATATATGCCCATGCAGGTGGTTTCTGGTGTCACTGTTTCCACATCAGTGCCGTGGTGACAGATTCTTTCATCAGGAATTTTCTTGCAGCCACAGCTAAAGTCCTGCTCTGTCACACACAACCACAGCAGAGGTTCTCTTCTAACCCGAACCACAATTCGAACTTGGCCTGGAGTTTCGGCACTCGGAGCAAATGCAAGCCGCTTGACTTTTTGGAAGGAGATGCAAACTTGACGCTGTCACTTGGACATCTTAAAATAAAGTAGAATGTTGTTAATGCAGCAAAGTGCCTGGCTTTGATGCTCTAGTGGACACAGAGACACCTCTCTGCCACCTCTTTCCTTTGTATCATAGCTCGCACTAGATGATGAAGGGGGCCTCGTTATGGGCTTAGTGACAGCATTGAAACATCCTGGATGGTAACAGGCCATGCTGGCAGGCTACAGGCTTCCTGGCATTGTTGAGGGTGTTGTCCCTGCCGCCTGCCTTTCTTCAGTTGAGTCTTCATGTCCACTGAGACTTTCCAAAGAGTGCCATAGCTACTTAGATGAAGTTAGTCAATATTTTATTTCTTTCAAGGCTCCAAGTGCCCATGGCCCACGACGGCTCATTTCCTTGTCAGAAGTTCTCCGTTAGAAGGATTTGTGGGCAGAGTGTGACCTCCTGCAGTGGGAAGAGCCTGCTCCCAGACATTCAGATAATTTTGCCCAATGACCGTGTAAGAAATGACACCTGTGCCACTCATTGACTTCCACCTCAGGGAGCGATCCAAATATTACACCAAGACCTCATTCCTCAACCAATCCAATTCCAGAAGTCCTAAAAGACCCTGACCCAGGTTGCAAAATTACACACATTTCTCTCCTTCCATGTAGGAAGATAACAGTCCTTGAAATTTTTTCCTGCTGGCAAACAACTTTTCTCACAAAAAGATACACATTTTCAACCTCTTAGTAACCAAGTTTCTCAGCAAAATATTGACTTATGACCTAATATTTGGCTTCAGTCAGGTTTTGGAGCATTTCACGTCAATGCTTGCAATTGAACGTGACAATCAGACATTGTTATTTGTACAATTTCAAAAGGGCATGTCATGTTGAGGGAAGAATTAAGACCAGGTGTGTTTCTACATTTCAAGTGATGCTCCAAGAATGAAAACAAAATATGCTGGCTTAGAGAGAGTGGAAAGGGACTCCAAGAAATGCCTGGTGTGGCCACTCTAATGGGGCACTTGGCTTCCTTGAAGCCACAGGCATTTGTGACTTAGTTTGGCCTTAAGGACAGGTGAGCACAGCTGCATGGAAGCAGCTGCATTTATACTGTTCTGGCCTAAGCTGAGAAGGAGGGACATCCAGAAGGGATGCTGGCAATGGCTCAGCCTCAAATCCCTACTAACCAGGAAGGAAGTGGAGAGGAGACAGTGGGAGTCACCCTTCTGGACCTGCTGAACACTCCACCTCCCTATTTGCCTATTTGTAAACAGGGACTCAGTTCATCATTATATTTATTTATTTATAAATATAGACAGTCTGGCTATGTTGTCCAGGCTGAACTTAAACTCCTGGGCTCAAGCAATCATCCTGCTTCAGCATCCTGAGTTGTTGGGACTACAGGGGCACGCCACGTTGCCAGGCCTCCAATATATTTCTTGTGTCTGCTAGAGGAAGCACGTGGCTGGGTCCTGAATCTGCCTGAAAACGCCAATGCAGGAGCACCTGGAGAGGGTGCTGTGCCACTTTTTGCGATGGGAGCCGGAGGTGGGCTCCAGGACAAGCTTCCTGGTCATGGCATGGGCTTATCTCTCAGATCGGGGGGGTCACCCTTGGAGAAGGCAGAAAAATCTAATGCCAGGGGACTGTGATATTATGGAAACGTAGGGGAGTGTTAACTGTGGAGATGAGAAAGAGAGGAGGATGAACTGTGGTAAATCTTATCCATTTGCTATTTCTACTTAGAACTTGACTGAGCCCTGCTCAGGGTGAGCACAGGAAATGGCCTTGACTTCAGTGCCTCCAAGTACTGGTGAGAATATCAAGCACGAGTACATGCCCAGAGCTCCCTGTGCATGGGGAAGGACGCTTTAAGGACAAGGCCCTGACAGGATCAAATCAGAAGCTCCAACAGTGGCAGGACAGGCCAGATTCCAGCTCTGTCCTTATGAAATACCCTCCATTCCTAAAATGTCATCTTCACTTCCTTGGTATCCCAGAGCTTTCTCAGCCCTTCTCTTTCAGCCCCATTCTGAGTAAAAGGCAGTACTGACATATTTCCTTGGGTTCCCAAGTTCTTCTATTTCCAGGAGAACTTACTGGACCTTGCAGTTGTCTCTCCAATTCCCAGTGTGTCAGAGAGCCTGTCTGAGACATAAGGCTTCTTAGGTCTGACCATGCTGTCAGGAACATTGCAGATTCCAGCTCTAAGAAGTCAAAATATCCCACCCATCATGGCCCTCTTGTCTTCATACAGACTCTCTCCTTGTCCCCTTGCAGAATGAGCTCCATCCTGCCCCACAGAAACTCTAAGCTTTGCTTCTTCCCTGTAGGGTCAGAACCAGTTTTGCATGTAGCCCCTAAAAGTGACGAATCCATCCCTTATTCTGTGCTACTTTATTGACAGGTCTGGCTTCCCCACTATGTGGGGGGATTCCGAATATATCCAGCATCAGCCTCTGGGAGAGCCAAGCATCTCCTCTCTTCCTTGCCTCTCCCATTGCAAGCTCACCGTCCTCCTACCCTGAGTCTTAGCATTTCCCCTAATCCCGCTCCTAGGTTCAGCCCCCTCCTCTGTGGGTGCAGCTTCTTATCTATCCTCTAGTTCTACTAGGAAAACATGTCCACCCCTTTCTCGCCACTCTCCATCCCTTTACCTCCATTTCATAGACCTCTCACATTAGAGGGCTTTGTCATTTCCTATTTATATGAACTCATCTCTGTTGAGGATGTTTTTCAGGCTCGGAAAACACAGAGCATAGGCAGGAATCTAGCTTCCTCTCAACCTTGTGCTGTGTCTGGTGCTTGTAGAGGAAAGAGGGTAAACCCAGCCACCTCCCTACAGGTGACCCTTGACCAAATGTCACAATAGATATTAGATCTGCTATTTTTGCCACTTCCTGTTCAGACCAACTCCTTCTTCCTGTGTCTCCCAGTACTGTCTTGTCCCTACTTCCAGGTGGCCATGGGGAGTTGAGGAGAATAATGTCAGAACAGGCATGATAGCTGGTGAGCTGTTTGCAAATAGATCATTGGCATCTATCTCATAATGCCGAAAAGGTGAAAGGGATGCCTCCGATTTTAGTTCTGCTATTAAAACAAAACAAAAACAAACATTGTATTTCACCTTTCAATGGGTTAAATTATCTTTATTTGGCTAGCTAATTTATAATATTAAATGCATTCTTAATTTCCAGTCGCTGACTCACCATGGATCAATGCCTTAGAATAAGGCTGGTGGAAAGGTAGGCTGGAGACAAGGCTGTGGATACAGCCGAGCTTGCTCCAAACCTTCAGCTCTCTGCAGAGCCTAGGTGGGCATAGACATCCAACTCTCCAGGCCCTTTTGACCCCAGAGAGCCCTCAGGACTAGTTCTGGGGTCCTGGTTATCCAGCACAGGTTTCTTCCAGGAGTTTTGAAACATATTTGCAGATCATGCAAGAAAGCAGAGGTCTGAAAACTAATAAGTGTAAGTGGCCAAATTACATTTCTAGGACATATGGCCTAGAAATGTAATTTGGCCACTTACACAGTGCTTTTTAAAAAATTGGTAATATCTAGTGGTAAAGAGATTGTGAAAAAATGCATGTAATCCTTCATGGTTATAGGCCTCACAAAATGATGCAATCCTTTGGAGAGTAATACAAAAATACAGAACACAAATGTTTAGAGCTGCTCACATCTTTAACCTTTGCAAGTTGGGTTTTAACTGAAAAAGTAACCTAAATGTATCTAAAATCCATGACAAATATTTTAAATCAAGAGCTGACTCTAAAGTAAACATACAGTTTAAATATTTACTATTAGGGAAATACTTTAATAAATTATGGTTCATAAATGTGATAGCATCTTATGTAGCAAATAGTAATATAAAGACTGAAGAAACACTAAACACACACACACACACACACACACACACACACACACAGGAATACTTAAGGAAAGTAGCAGAAAAAAATAGAATG